TGAAACTTGAAAACATTATGCTAAGTAAAGGAAGCCAGATGCAAAAGGCCACATATTGTATAATTACATTTATATGACGACTAGAGGCCCAGTGCACGAAATCCATGCATGGGTCAGGTCCCTAGGCCTGGCTGGCAACCACCCATGTGCCGCCAACTCGAGGTTCCCCCTGCCTCCCCGCCTCCCCGCCTCCTCCTTCCCTAGCTCCCTCAGCGCCCCACCTCCGCTGGTCGCCCGCCATGTTCTGCGCTGCACCCTGGTGGTCAGTGCACATCATAGTGAGCGATTGAACTCCCATTCTCCCGGTGGAACTCCCGAGGGGACACTTTGCATATTAGCCTTTTATAATATAGACTAGAGGCCCGATGCATGAAAATTCATGCAAGAGTAGGCCTTCCTTCCCCCAGCTGCCAACACTGGCACTGGCTTCCCTCCGGCACCCAGGACCCAGGCTTCCCTCCTCTGGCCACCCGCAGGCACCTGGCACCCGGGCTGGCTTCCCTCGGGCCCCGGCTTTGTCAGGAAGGACGTCCAGAAGACGTCCAGTCTAATTAGCATATTACCCTTTTATTATTATAGACTAGAGGCCTGGTGCACAAAATTCGTGCACTGGGAGGGGGGGGGGTTTCCCTCAGCCCAGCCTGTACCCTCTCCAATCTGCGACCCCTCAGGCCTAAACCGACAGTCAGACATCCCTCTCACAATCCGGGACTGCTGGCTCCCAACTGCTTGCCTGCCTGCCTGCCTAATTGCCTCTAACCTCTTCTGCCTGCCAGCCTGATCACCCCCTAACCACTTCCCTAGCAGCTTGATTGATGCCTAACTGCTCCCCTGCCAGCCTGTTCACCCACAACTGCCCTCCCCTGCCAGCCCGGTCGCTTTCAACTGCCCTCCCCTGCCGGCCCGGTCATCCCCAACTGCCCTCCCTTACCAGCCTGATGGCCCACAACTGCCCTCCCCTGCCAGCCCTCTTGTGGTGCTCATCTTTGACCACATGGGGGTGGCCATCTTGTGCAAGGGTGTGACAGTCAATTTGCATATCACCTCTTTATTATACAGGATAAGCAAATCCATGGAGGCAGGAAGTAGATTAGTGGTTGTCCGGGACCCTTCAGTCTACAGGCTGACGCTCTATTCACTGAGCCAAACTGGCTAGGGCTAAAGTAGATAGTTTTTGAGAGCTTGATTAGAGGAGTAGATATTGCCTGATCCTTATGTTTAAGGACAAAAAGCTAGTTTTCACCTGTCAGTTGAAGATCTGCAGATTGGAAAGGATGCTCTCAGAATCTGGGAGGCCCATGCTTTTCTGATGTTCTGAGGCTGATGGGGTAAGTGATTGCTGAGATCTGTTTTCTCAAAGTGTGCGGTGGAGGCTCAGGTTAATTTGAATATAAATGAAGATGCCAGCCCTAGCCGGTTTGGCTCAGTGGATAGAGCGTCAGCCTGAGGACTGAAGGGTCCCAGGTTCGATTCCGGTCAAGGGCACATGCCCGGGTTGCAGGCTTGATCCCCAGTAGGGGGCGTGCAGGAGGCAGCCATTCCATGATTCTGATCATTGATGTTTCTGTCTCTCTCTCCCTCTCCTTTCTTCTCTGAAATCAATAAAAATATATTTAAAATAAATGAAGATGCCGCCTCAAGGCTGGAGGCTCAGAGTTGTGTTGATAATTGACAGTTAAGTTGCCCTTCCGTAGCCACACACCTGGGAGGGAGACTCAGAGTGCTCAACCTTGAGGGGGAGAGGTCATGACCCCATGCCCTCAGTCAGATGGGCCTGGCCAGGAGAGATGCTGGCAAGTGGATGATAGAGACCTCTCTTCTGGAAATTCCGCATGTATAATTTGTTTATTTGTTTGCTTTTACTATATCTTTATTGACTTCAGAGAGGAAGGGAGAGGAAGAGAGAGATAGAAACATCACGCCCCACACTGGGGATTGAGCCCACAACCCGGGCGTGTGCCCTGACCGGGAATTGAACAGTGACCTCCTGGTTCATAGGTCGACGCTCACCCACTGAGCCAATGCAGCCGGGCTGCGCGTATAATTTATTTTTATTTTTTGGTTTCGTATCTGTCTCCTTGGTTGGCCTCTAACTTCCACCAGAGCAGGGACCCTGTATGTTGACCTCACCGCTGTACACTCAGCAGTGCTTGGCACACAGTAGGTGGGTTCTCAATTCGTGCTTGTGGATTGCGTTAACGTAAAAACATTCAAACCTGTAAAGAATTTTTGTGAGTTTATTTGAGTCAAACTGTCAACAATTGCTGGAAGCAGAATCTCAACGGATTGGGATAATGCTCTGGAGAATGGTGGTTTTTCATCTTGTTTATTTATTGATTGATTGATTTTTTCTTTTGGTCTAAAGTTTTACATATGTCTCCTCCCCCTGCCCCCATTAACCCTTCCCGTCACCACTCCTACCCCCGAGGGTAAGCCCCCACTGCCCCAGTGTCTGTGTCCATTGGTTATGCTAATATGCATGCAGACAAGTCCTTTGGTGGATCTCTAACCGCCCCCCCCAACCTTGTCCAGTGGTTCTCAACCTTCCTAATGCCGCGACCCTTTAATACAGTTCCTCATGTTGTGGTGACCCCCAACCATAAAATTATTTCCGTTGCTACTTCATAACTGTAATTTGGCTACTGTTAGGGATCGTCATGTAAATATCTGATATGCAGGATGTATTTAGGCGACCCCTGTGAAAGGGTCGTTCGACCGCCAAAGGGGTCGCGACCCACAGGTTGAGAACCTCTGTAATTTAGACATTACAATCAAGAGAGAAGACGTAAGTGGGTTACATGAAATCCATTGGTGATAGATTAGGGAGGTGGGAGAAAGCAAGGCTGGGAAAACGCTGGGAGTGGATAAAAAATAAAACGGTAGACACATACTTCTTTTACTTAGGTGGTGCAGGATAGTTAACAGTCAACAATTAACGTGATAACAATAACAGTGAAGGAGTTCATGGTCTCTGTCCTGGTGCCCAGGCGCATTTGGTTGTGGAGGGGGAAGGGAAGTTACAAGTTACTCAGACATTTCAAAGGTGTGTTATCTTAGATGCAAAAAGACAATAGGCTCAGTTAAGTAAAAATTGACCTTTTCAGGGAAAATACCGGCCTAGGACATGACTACCCACCATAACTGCTTTTAGTTAAAGTTGTTGTTGTTTTTTTGTAAACATATTTTTTTTTCATTGATTTCAGAGAGGAAGGGAGAGGGAAAGAGAGAGAGAAACATCAATGGTGAGAGAGAATCATGGATCGGCTGCCCCCTGCACACCTCACACTGGGGATCCCGGGCATATGCCCTGACCGGAATCGAACCCTGGCCTCCTGGGTTCATAGGTCGCCGGGCTAGTTCAAGTTTTAATTTCAGAGCTAGTTCAAGTTTTAATTTCAGACTATCCTTTGAGGTTACTTTGCAAGACTGCCACTCAGGCCTTCCCTGAGCTTGTCAGGTTAGCAACTGACAGCCGAGGCCACAAGGAAAGCCCCAGCTGAGGGGCGAATGCGGAGGAGGAAGACCCAGAGAAGCTGTTACTTGGCCGAAGCCACCTGGTTAGTAGGCGGAGTAGCTAAGAACAGTGGGACACGAAAAGCCGGCTCTTCACCAGACCCGGGACGGCCCCGGGTGTTTAGCGTGAGTTGGCCAGGTGGTGGCGCCATCCATCAATGCGAGGAAGCAGGAGGAGGGAAAGGTTGATTGTCAGGGAAATGACACAGTGAGTTGGGACAAGTTGAGCTGGAGAAGCTGTTGGTTATTCCGTGATATGCAAGAACAGTCCAGAGGGCAGCTCCAAGGACCCTGCTGGGGCAGACAGTTAAGGTCGTGGAGGTGAAGGAGACACCCTAGACCAGTGATGGCGAACCTTTTGAGCTCGGCGTGTCAGCATTTTGAAAAACCCTAACTTAAATCTGGTGCCGTGTCACATATAGAAATTTTTTGATATTTGCAACTATAGTAAAACAAAGACTTATATTTTTGATATTTATTTTATATATTTAAATGCCATTTAACAAAGAAAAATCAACCAAAAAAATGAGTTCGCATGTCACCTCTGACACACATGTCATAGGTTCGCCATGACTGACCTAGAGAGAGCATGAGTGTGAGGCGCGAGAAAGGCCCAAGAGGGACCAGGGTGCACCAGAGACACATGTCATTAAAAAATATTATATATATAAATATAAATTATTTTTTAACCTTCACTCAATATTTTTCCATTGATTTTTAAAAAATGTATTTTTTATTGATTTCAGAGAGAAAGGGAGAGGGAGAGAGAAACATCAATGATGAGAGAGAATCATGGATCGGCTGCCTCTTGCACACCCCACACTGGGGATCGAGCCTGCAACCCGGGCATGTGCCCTGACTGGGAATCGGACCGTGACCTCCTGGTTCATAGGTCGATGCTCAACCACTGAGCCATGCCAGCCGGGCTCCATTCATTTTTATAGAGAGTGGAAGAGAGAGGGAAAGACAGAGAGAAATATCGATGTGAGAGAAACACATCGACTGGTTGCCTCCTGCACGAGCCCCAACCAGGGCCTGGGCTGGGGAGGATCCTGCAACTGAGGTACGTGCCCTTGACCGGAATCCAACCGGGACCCTTCAGTCCGCAAGCCAGTGCTCTATCCACTGAGCCAAACCGACCCAGGGCACCACTTCCTTTCTTTGGACCTCATGAATTGCTGCCATTCCTGTCTTGAGGTGGCAGAAGTTACTGATCTGAGGGCCAGCCCTCCAGCCGGGTTTTCAGCTCTGTAAGATTCATGGTGTGTGTGTGTGTGTGTGAGTGTGTGAGAGTGTGAGTGTGTGTGTGTGTGTGTGTGTGTGTGTGAGTGTGAGTGAGTGTGTGTGTGTGAGCACCAGCACCCGCACAACAAGCAGCCCACGTAAAACAAAACTGGCTTTACAAAATGTTTGTCTTCTTAAACAAAAAGTATGCCATATATTTTTATTAAATCATAGAAAACTCATTTGTATACACTTTTTCCCCCCCATTTTGGGAAACCTGGAATATTGAACAGCTGGGTCACAAAACCAATGAACAATACATCTCCCTTTAAGCACAGACAAGTTTGAAGTTGTCACATTTATTTATTTTTAAACGTCGACATAAATCAGTAACAGCTTGTTGGCTTCTTTCACCTTTAGGCCACGGGAATACTCTCTCTCACCACCCCCAATTCTCTCTAAGGATGTTTTTCATTACTTAAAGCAACCATAACTTTCAAAGACGGTGAACTTGAAGTCTTCATATGAAACTGACTTCTTTTTCCCTACCTCGGGCTTTTAGAGAACTGTAAACGCCGAATTTCACGAGATGGGACCGATCATGCTTCCTGTCTCCAACAGCAAAGGTGTACAACAGCGTGGACTATAGTTCAGAATAAGTTAAATATTAAGACACATAGTATGGCAGTAACATCCTACTTTTCTTTCTACCATGTAACTCCGGGAGTTCCCCCTAATCTTACAGATCTATAAAGGATGGAGACGGAGGGATCCGGGGATACTGACAATGCACACCCACCCTCCAAACCACACTCTCTAAACGCTTGGATCAAAAATATATACACAAACGGTCCTGCCGGGTCGCGCCTGCACCCATTCCGCAGGGCAGCGCCGGGAGCAGACTCTGAACTTCTCCAAATGAACACGGGCAGTGGGTTTGACGTTTAGGGTCATCACTCCTTCTGCTTCCGATCGAGACGCCCCCTCTCCCCCCCGCCCACCAAATCACACTGTGACATGTCTGCACTCACCCCTTATACTCACATATATAAACACAAATTAAATATCATCAAAATTATCTTAAATTAAATCGAAGACTGCTATTTTTAAGTGCATGGTCTCCCCCGTCCCCAGCTTCTCGAATGCGTGTTACAGAGCGAGAACTAACATCCTCAGTAACATTCCCGCTCCCGGGCCTCCTCTGAGAGCCCCCCAGAGTAACACGTGAGACCTTTGTGGGGGGGCGGGGGGAGGCGATTTTCCACTCCAAACGGAGGGACTGTCTCCGAAAGTCCCGCTCCCAAACTGAAATCTGGGTTTCAGACTCATGAAAGCAGGAACTGAAAAAAAATGGAATCTCTAGGGGGCTGGTTCCTCACCCATGGTGACAGCCGGCTTCCCCCGGGACACTCAATCCACCCCAAATCCAGCCAGCCTCCTTCCAAGCCGCCTCCCGGCCCGGGGCCCCTGACGGCCATCTGCAGGCGCAGAGATCTCCCAGGGAACGTGTCAACAGAGCTGGGAAAAACTGCATTTCTGCACGTTTGCGTCGTTGTCAGTGAAAAACACCCGGGGCTGAGGACAAATGATAGGAAAGGCTGCCCCGCGTCAACACCCCGCTCATCCCGCAGCCGAAGACGAGAAAGTCAGCTCCAATGCTTTTTGGCCTGGCTTGTCCCGAATGGCGGTAAAGCCCGAAACAGACCCTTGTCCTACCTTCTCCCCCAGAAACAATGCCCTTGCGTTTCCCATCTTGCTACTGGAGGGGGCCGGGGGAGGAGGCCAGGCTTTTGTGCAGGTTGGGATTCTGGCTGTGTCTGTTGCGGCTGCGCACAGACGAGAACATGGTGTTGCAGCCGGGCACCTTGCACTTGTGCAGCTGGCGCAGGTGCACGGTTTTGTAGTGGGCCCGGAAGGTCCCTTTGTTGCTGTAGGTCTTTTGGCAGAGGTGACACGTGATGGGCAACCCGGAAGGCAGGCTGGCCAGGCTCTGGTCGGCCTTCTCCATCAGGACGCAGATGGGGTACTCGTCCTCCCCGGGGACGAGGCCGGCGCCTTCGCCGTTCCCGTCGCTGTCCTCCATGAGCCCGGCGCCCTCCTCGCTCGCCGCCCCGTCGGAGTCCCAGGAGGAATGGCTGGGGCTCTCCGACTTCATGCTCGAGGTAGCGCTCAGGTCCAGGATGGTGCCTTCGCCCGGCGGGCCGGAGGTGTAGCTCTCCAGGGCGGCGCTGTGCACCTGGGCTATGGGGTAAACCAGGCTGCCCATGCGGCTGGTGCCCTTGAAGATGACAGACGTCTGGGAGGCTTGCTGCGTGAAAGCCACGTCCGCATAGGCCTCCTTAGCCACGTCTTTCAGAAGGTACGCTGCGCGGATATGGTTTTCGCTGCTCTCCAGTGCTTCCTGGGCCAATCCTTTCTGGTGGAGGTTTAGGTTTGAACTGTGTCTGCCAGAGTGAAAAGATGGTTAGAAACGAATCGAGCTGTTGTTTGTTTATTTATTAACTAGAGGCCCATTGCACGAAATTCGTGCAAGGGTCTCAGCCCTCACAGCTGCCCTTGGCCCTTGCAGCCCTGGCTTCATCCAGGAGGTTGTCTAGAAGGACATCTGGAAAGTCTTTCAGCTGTCCAGTCTAATTAGCATATTATGCTTTTATTATTATAGATTATTTATTTTGCTAATCCTCACCTGAGGATAGTTTTCCATTGATCTTTTAGAGAGAGTGGAAGAGAGAGGTGAAGACAGAGAGAAACATCCATGTGAGAGAAACACATCGATTGGTTGCCTCCTGCACACACTCTGACCAGGGCCTGGGCTGAGGAGGAGCCTGCAACCAAGGTACGTGCCCTTGACCGGAATCGAACCCGGGACCCTTTGCTCCACGGGCCGACGCTCTATCCACTGAGCCAAACTGGCTAGGGTTTGAGCTGTTGTTTTAAAAACAGTCCTCATTCTGAGTGGAGACACTAGGCAGATGCCAGAAAAAACCTGCGGCATGTGAGAAGTGACGACAGGGGCGTGGGATGCAATGGGAGTCTAGTGGACACCGGCCCACTGCTGTTCGCCGCTTGTCAGAAGTTAGCATTCGTGGGAAAGTCAGGGGCCTGGGAACATGTGGTTCCCTTCAGTTTCCACCGTCTGATTGACAGGTAACTTCCTGGACCTGATCTAAAGAGATGGCTAGCCCAGAGGATTTGGCTCAGTGGATAGAGCGTCAGCCTGCGGACTGAAGGGTCCCGGGTTCGATTCTGGTCAAGGGCACGTGCCCAGGTTGTGGGCTCGATCCCCAGCAGGGGGCATGAAGGAGGCAGTCAATCAAGATTCTCATCATTTCTCCCCCCCCCTCTCTCCCTCCCTCCCTCCCTCCCTCCCTCCCTCCCTCCCTCCCTCTCTTTTCCTCCCTGAAATCAGTAAAAATATATTTAAAAAAGAAAGAAAGAATGGCTACACTATTTCAATTAGGCCCATTCGACTGGGACACTGGGAATAACTGGTCACAAATATGTGGCTACTCACTCACTCATATGTGGCTACGGAGTACTGGTGTGGCTGCATCATATAATAAAACCAGAATACTTTGAATGGACTGACAGAAATAAAACACATGATTAAAACTTCACCTGTTTCTTTTTACTTTTTTTTTTTTTTTTTTTGGTTAATCTTCACCCAAGAATATTTTTTCCATTGATTTTCAGGGAGAGTGAAGAGAGAGAGAAAGACAGAGAGAAACATGGATATGAGAGAGACACATCGATTGGTTGCCTCCTGCACATGCCCCGACCAGGACCAGGGCCCAGGCCAGGAGGAACCTGCAACCAAAGTACATGCCCTTGACTGGAATTGAACCCGGGGCCCTTTGGTCTGCAGGCCCACACTCTATCCACTGAGCCAAACCCGGTAGGGCTCTTTTTACTCTTTAAAAATGTGGCTACTAGAAAATTTAAAATTTCCTATGTGGCTCACATCAGGATCTAGAACAGTGGTTCTCAACCTTCCTAATGCCACGACCCCTTAATACAGTTCCTCATGTGGTGGTGACCCCCAACCATAAAATTATTTTCGTTGCTACTTCATAACTGTAATTTTGCTACTGTTAGGAATTGTAATGTAAATATCTGATAGGCAGGATGTATTTTCATGGTTACAAATTGAACAATAATTAAAGCAGAGTGATTAACCACAAAAACAATATGTAATTATATATGTGTTTTCCGATGGTCTTAGGCGATGCCTGTGAAAGGGTCGTTCGACCCCCAAAGGGGTCGTGACCCACAGGTTGAGAACCGCTGGTCTAGAGCATTGGCAGGCATATCATCCCAGAAGTTCTACAGGTATGAAAATCTGACTGGCTAGAAATAGTAGGGTGTGTGAGTGAGTGAGTGAGAGAGGGGGAGAGAGAGAGAGAGAGAGAGAGAGAGAGAGAGAGAGAAAGAACCTAGTTCAGTTCATATTTGCAACGTTTCACTGTTACCAGACAGGGGTTTTGCAAATGCAGCACTGAGCACACCACCAATCACCAATCTGCTACCTGGTGATTACTCCTGCAGGGCAGATAATGATACCCATTATGACACAGGCCTTGGACTCATATGATATCATTTGGATGTAACTTGTCAATCAGTGTTGGCCTTGCTCAGAGATTCCGTGCTAACCTGACGAGCAAACACAGCCCTTTCCAAGGGCTACAGTCTTTTTTAAAAATATATTTTTATTGATTTCAGAGAGGAAGGGAGAGGGAGAGAGAGATGAAAACATCAATGATGAGAGAGAATCATTGATCGGCCGCCTCCTGCACGCCCCACACTGGGGATAGAGCCTGCAACCCAGGCATATGGCCTTACTGGGAACCGAACCCGTGACCTCTGGCTCCTGAACCACTGAGCCACGCCAGCCAGGCAAACAAGGGCTACAATCTTAAAGGAGATAGGAGAATGACGCTAAACAGGGAAAATACTCCCCCAGTACGGCTCAGAATGCATGCCGGGGGAAAAAAAACATAATAAATAAGGATTGAATTTTCTAGCCTAAATCTCCAAAGACATATGAGGAGGGGAGGAGGTTTAATCCGACCTCAGATTTACTATTCGGCTTCTCTCCCCTCTCCCCTTACACATCCTTTTTTCCTGGCCGCCATCAGAATTATATTCCCAGATCACCCACTTTGCAGGCAGCTCTTAACTACAACTCTGACCTGTGATTATGTCAGCATTCTGGGTTGAAGGGGCAGGAACGTGTCAGCAGAAAACCAGACACGGGGTTGACATGCAGGTTCCAGTACATACAAGGGTTGAAGGGAAAAAAAAAAAAGCCAGACAAACACATTCAATTGGAACCTTGTATGGCAAGATCCCTGCTGCAAAGGGGCAAGGCTCTGGGCCCCACACTCAACGGCCAAGTGTCCCACAAATGCCAGGAGCCAACCTGTAGCTCCTCTAACCTTCTTCTTTTTTGTTTTTAAATATATTTTTATTGATTTCAGAGAGGACAGGAAAGGGAGAGAGAGAAACATCAATGATGAGAGAGAATCATTGATCGGCTGCCTCCTGCACGCCTCCTACTGGGGGTCGAGCCCACCACCCGGGCATGTGCCCCGACTGGGAATCAAACCCGGGACCTTTCAGTCCACAGGCTGACGCTCTAGCCACTGAGCCAAACCGGCTAGGGCTCCTCTAACCTTCTTAAGCCTCAAGGGTTAGATGCATTTCCCGGGGTGCCGTGTCCCCTAAAACCAGTGACAACCACAACTGCAAGGACCCTCTGCACCTCGTGGCAGGCTTTCGGCTCCCAGGACTTTGCTGGTGCTGTGCCCGCTGCCCGGGTCTGTACTTCTGCTCTGCATCCTCGATCTCCCCTGCAACTCTTCCCCACTGGCCGCTGGATTAGTTGAGATCCATGGTTCTCAAAGTGTGGTCTGGGCACCCCTAGTGGTTCCCTGAAGTGGAAACTCGTTTCATCATGATTCTAAGACATCGTTTGCCGTTCTTACTCTCATTCTCTCAGGTGTGTACAGTGGAGTTTTCCAGAGGCTTCATGACACGTGACATGGCGACGTGTTGAAGGCAGAAGCTGCTATGAGAATCCTGCTGTCTTTTACTAAAGCCGGACACTAAAGAGATTTCTGAAAGCCTCAAACAAAGCCACCCTTCTTAGTTTTTGTTTTGGAAAAATGTGTTATGTTTCATGAAAATGTTATTTATGCTAATGTATAATAGGTTTATCATTATTAATTTTTAAAATATATTTTTACTGAGTTCAGAGAGGAAGGGAGAGGGAGAGATAGAAACATCAATGATGAGAGAGAATCATTGATCGGCTGCCTCCTGCATGCCCCCCATTGGAGATCGAGCTCACAACCCAGGCATGTGCCCTTGACTGGAATCAAACCTGGGACCTTTCCGTCCACAGGCCAACGCTCTATCCACTGAGCCAAACCGGGCAGGTTTAGTATTTTAAGCGATATAAAATATATAGTTTTTTTTTCAGTTTTAAAGAGTCTTGAGGTTTGAAGAATTTATAAAGGGCTCTGGCCAGGTAGCTCAGTTGGCTAGAGCATCGTCCTGATACACCAACATTGTGGGGTCGATCCCCGGTCAGGGCACATACAAGCAACAACCAGTGAGTGCAGAAATAAGTGGAACAACAAATCAATGTTTCTCTTTCTCCCTTCCCCCTTCTCTCTCTAAAAGGAAAAGAACTTGTAAAGGGATTGTGCGGCCAAAACTTTTGAGAGCAGCTGCTTCCTTCCGACCGCTTCTTCCAGGCAGTCTTCCCTGACTCCTCAGTCTGGTCAGGAGCCCTCCCCTGTGTCCACAGCAGCCTATGCTTCTCCCACAAGAGCAGCCACCAAATTCAGTGTAAGCACCTGTTTAACGAGTCTGTCCCCACCCAGGCCTTCGTGGGCAGGGATGTGTCCACAGCACCTAACGCAGACAGTTCTTAAATATCTGTTGACGAGCCCTCGCTGGTTAGACTCAGTGTACAGAGCGTCGGCCTGCAGACTGAAGGGTCCCAGATTCGATTCAGGTCAAGGGCACGTATCTCGGTTGCAGGCTCCTCCCCGGCCCAGGCCCTGGTTGGGGAGCGTGCAGGAGGCAACCAATCGATGTGTTTCTCTGACATCGATGTTTCTCTCTGTCTTTCCCTCTCTCTTCCACTCTATCTAAAAATAAATAAATAAATTAAAAAAATCAAAAGCCTGGCTGGCGTGGCTCAGTGGTTGAGTGTCAACTTGTGAACCAGGAGGTCACGGTTTGATTCCCGGTCAGGGCACATGCCCAGGTTGCGGGTTCAATTCCTAGTGTAGGATGTGGAGGAGGCAGCTGATGGATGATTCTCTCTCATCACTGATGTTTCCATCTCTCTCCCTCTCCCTTCCTCTGTGAAATCAATAAAAATATATTTTAAAAAATAAAAATAAATGAATGAAAGAATATCCTTGGGTGAGGATTAACAAAACAAAAAATCTGTTGGCTACATAAGCACCGAGGGTGTGGCCCCAGCCCCTTCCGGCCGGGTCCTGGTCACTGCTGCTGGCGGGAGCAGAGTGGCTGGAAGAGGGGAAGACAGTTATCGCCACGGCGACTCGGTCTCGCCTCTGACTCGGAGAAACGGCGGTGGAGCCAGTGGAGCAGGGGCTGCCTACAGAGTCTTAGCTCACCTGGTGCCATTGTAACCCCAGATTTTATGCCAAAGCCCAGGCTACTAGAACTAGTACTTTAACTTCAGAAAGCAAGATGTTTTCCTGTGCTGGGGGAGGAGGCGTGTATGTACAAGTAGGACAGAAAGTAAGAAAATATTAAATCATTAAAAAAAGAAATAGCCCTTAGCCGGTTTGGCTCAGTGGATAGAGCGCCGGCCTGTGGACGGAAGGGTCCCGGGTTCGATTCTGGGCGAGGGCACATGCCCAGGGTTGTGGGCTCCATCCCTGGGGCGGGGGGGGGGGGCGTGTAGAAGGCAGCTGATCAATGATTCTCTCTCATCATGGATATTTTTCTCTCTCTCCCCCTTCCTCTCAGAAATCAATAAAAATATATTTTAAAAAAAAGAAACAGAAAATGAAATCCTATGTGAAATTCAGCATAACTTCTAGTTTAGTAGACGTGGTAGGCCAGAACAGTATCGTCCACATGAAGGACAACCTGACTGACACGCCGCTCTCTTCTTCACAATAACAGCTTGTTCGCGAACAGACCTTCCTCCTGGACGATGGATGGGGAAGGCGGGGCCACTCAGCAGGGTGCCCTGGTGGTTTGGTTCAACATCGCAGCCGCGGAGACAGGCATTTTAACCACTATCACCTGTGCTCTCTCCTCTGCGTGTGTGCTTCTGAGTGTGGGGAGGGTCTACGTCAGTGGCTCTCAACCTTGGCTGCACATTAGAATCACCTGGGAATCTTTTTAAAATCCTGATTTCTGGGCCTCATCCTCCGGAAATTCTGTTTCTTTGTTACTAATGTTGTGGCCCCACCTGATAACAAAGAAACAGAATTTCTTCTGGTCTACGTTTTCTCCCTTTTTTTAAAGTGCCGGGACTGACCGGCAGACCCCGAGTGATGGATGAATGATTATTTTGACATATGTTTTTGTGAAAGAGAGGGCTAAGGGACTGCCTGGTTAAAGGAACCAGACAGTCCCGTTTGTCTGTCTTTTTAGGCTTTTATTGTAGTAATAGCTTGAATTAAAATTAATTTTTAGATATTATTAGCAGGGCAAGTATTTTTTTTAAAAAATATATTTTTTTATTGATTTCAGAGAGGAAAGATGAGGGAGAGAGAGATAGAAACATCCATGATGAAAGAGAATCATGGATCGGTTGCCTCCTGCAAGTCCCCCACTGGGGATCAAGCCCACAACCTGGGCATGTGCCCTTGACCGGAATCGAACCTGGGACCTTTCAGTTCGCAGGCCGACGCTCTATCCACTGAGCCAAACCGGCTAGGGCGCAGGGTAAGTATTTTTGAGAAAATATATGTATTTGTAGTATTTTTTAAATAAGGGCATGTCTAAAGACTAAATATAGAGATTCCAGTAAAACACCTGGGGGCTCAGACTTGTTTGGAAAAGTCAAGGCAGGGGCTGCCGCCCTTGGCCAGGTTCCCCTTTGACCTTTTGGAGAACTTTTTTCATCAACTTTCCAACCAAGTCCCGAATTTCCCCCATAATAAAGCAGGCCTTATAGTTTGGACTAAGACAGTGGTGGCATGGAGCTGTCTCAGGTCACGCTCGTTTGAGCAAAATGTGTAACATGTTAATACTCTCAGAACCATGTGTAGCATGAATCATACTGTGTTTCGTCAGAGAGCTGGTCCTTCCCTGAAAGCCTGGGGAGCAAGGTGACCTGAAGCGGGGCGACGGGACTCAAGTTCATGAAGAAAAGCACACACGTGAGATGGTAATGCCAGTGCCGGGCCCCGAGCGATGAGACGCCCGGGAAACTCTGCAAACAGTTCGACTCCTGTGGGTCAGGCAAACCCAGCACAGACAGACGTCTCGTCTTCCATCCCAACCTCCCGAAGTAACCTGTGAAGTGCCTTTCCTCTCTGAAATCTTTTTTTTTTTAAAAAATATATTTTATTGATTTTTTACAGAGAGGAAGGGAGAGAGATAGAGAGTTAGAAACATTGATGAGAGAGAAACATCGATCAGCTGCCTCCTGCACGCCCCCCAGTGGGGATGTGCCCACAACCAAGGTACATGCCCTTGACCGGAATCGAACCTGGGACCCTTGAGTCCGCAGGCCGACGCTCTATCCACTGAGCCAAACCGGTTCGGCTGAAATCTTAATATTTAAAAAAATCCCCCATTAGGCCGTCACCTCTCCTTTCCAATAGAGCTTGGCTAACTAGGGATCAGAGGAAATATTGGAGGAAATGTTTCATTCAGTGGACTTCACGTTAGACAGTGAAAACCAGACAAGTTTTGGGAAGCCAAAGAGATCATTTTAAAACAGCGGTTCTCAACCTGTGGGTCGTGACCCCTTTGGCAGTCGAACGACCCTTTCACAGGGGTCGCCTAAGACCATCCTGCATATCAGATATTTACATGACGATTCATCACAGTAGCAACATTACAGTTATGAAGTAGCAACGAAAATAATTTTATGGTTGGGTCACAACATGAGGAACTGTGTTTAAAGGGCCAGAAGGTTGAGAACCACTGTTTTAAAAGCACCCTCCAGCCCTAGCTGGCTTGGCTCAGTGGACAGAGCGTCGACCCACAGACTGAAAGGTCCCAGGTTTGATTCTGGTCAAGGGCACGTACCTCGGTTGCAGGCACGACCCCCGGCCCAGGTCGGGGTGTGTGAGGCAGGCAACCAATCGAGGTGTCTCTCTCACATTGATGTTTCTCTCTCTCTGTCTCGTCCCCTCCCTTCTGCTCGCTCTAAAAATCAATGGGAAAATACCCTCAGGTGAGGATTAACAATAAAATCGCCCTCCTCCAGCGGCTTGTCTGACCCAGGTCTGCAGGCCTCCCTGGGAGAGCTAGCTCACAAATTCCTTGTGCCAAAGCCTGGGGGTGGAACGTGTCTCTGAATTCAGAATTTCTCAGACTTCGGAAAAAGCAGAATGATGCACAGACTGTAGTATCGTTTTAGTGCCTCCCTAACAAATCCATTACTATTTCTGCGCGAATAGATACAAAAAATTCCACACAAAAGGTGGTTTTAAAAAACACTGCAAATAGCTTCACATCATTTCAGGCCACGTCTTGGGGCCAAATGAGTCAAGGTTTTGGAAGCAAAAATTCAGGAGAGTGGATCTATAGCAGGGGTCCTCAAACTTTTTAAACAGGGGGCCAGTTCACTGTCCCTCAGACCGTTGGAGGGCCGGACTATAGTTTAAAAAAAAAAAACTATGAACAAATTCCTATGCACACTGCACATATCTTATTTTGAAGTAAAAAAACAAAACGGGAACCAATACAGTATCTGTATTTGCATGTGGCCCGCGGGCCGTAGTTTGAGGACCCCTGGTCTATAGGATAGTGTTTTTCAAACTGTGGTCCCCGGCCCGGCAATCTTTGTATCACCTGGGCACGTAGAAATGCAAAGTCTTAGGCTCCGCCCAGAGCCCCTGCAATGGAAGTTCTAGGAGCCAGGTGATTCTGATGCAGGTTAGAGTTTAAGAACCGCCACCTTGCCCTGGCAGGTATGGCTCAGTGGCTAGAGCGTCAGCCTGCGGACTGAAGGGTCCCAGGTTCAATTCCGGTCAGGGGCACATGCCTGGTTGCGGGCTTGATCCCCAATGGGGGGTGTGCAGGAGGCAGCTGATCCATGATTCTCTCTCATCATTGATGTTTCTCTCTCCCCCTCTCCCTTCTTCTCTGAAATCAATTAAAAAAATATCTCTTTATATAAAAGCCTAAGCGACCGAACAACCGGTTCACCGGTTGCTATGACGTGCACTACCCACCAGGGGACAGACGCTCAACACACAGGATCGGGCTCCCTCCTGTCTAGATTGGGCCTGCGGGGACTGGGCCGAAACCAGCTCTCTGACATCCCCTGAAGGGTCCCGGATTGTGAGAGGGCACAGGCCAGGCCGAGGGACCCCGCTGGTGCACGAATCTGGGCCTCTAGTATATATATATCTATAAAGAACTGCCACGTTAAGACAAACAGTTGCCAACAGGCGCCTCACCTGTCCCTGCTCCTGCGGGAAGGGAAGGTGGCTTGGCAGCCCTCCACCGTGCACACGTGTGTCTCCTTGGAGTGTGTGTTCTTGTGGTGCATCTTCACGCCGCAAGCGTTCTTGAAGGTCTTCTGACAGATGTCACACTGGTGGCGACTCTCTTCCTTCTGCCTCGCCAACGCGTGCGGACCCGTGGGCTCCAGGTCCTTGGAATCTTCAAAACAAGGGAAAGCCATTCCTCGGGTGGACAAGGCGCCCAGGAGGCCCCCGGCCAGCAGGTGCTGCTGCAGCCTGACGTAGTCCGGGAAAGGGATGCAGGGCTCCAGCCCAGGAGGGAGGCGGAGCTCCCGGCCGCTGTCCTCCGCCTCCCCGGGCACCAGGGTCAGCCCTGGCTTCTGCTCCAGCTCCGTCTCCCTCTCCGAGTTGCGCGTGGCCTGCTCGGGGGTCCTGCTGATGACCCCCCTGGGCTCGATCACCGACGAGAGGTGGCAGGCCGGCTGCCCTTCGCGGGGAGGCCTCCCTGGGCATCCTCCCTGCTCCTCCTCCAGCGCCCCGTCCGACCCGGGGCTGCAGGCCTCCAGCTCGTCTTCACTGACCACCTGCAGGGGCCGATCTTCATCGGAGCTGGGCGCCCGCCTCTTCTCGTCAGCCGTTCCCACGGCCTCCTTCTCGATCTTGATGGGCATGCTGGACTTGCGGGATTTCTTCTTGGGGAGGGCATCGGACGGCATCTCGGCGGAAACCAGCTGTTCCGAGATGGAGGACGACAGCAGGGGGAGAGACGGCAGCATCCCGGGCGTGGTGGCCAGCTCGGCGGGCGTGGCCGGGCTGCGGTAGAAAGGGAGCACCGGCTGGACCGTCCTCAGGTTGGGGAAAAGCACGCCGTTCTGCCCGGCGCCCGGGAAGACCGCTTGGCCCCTGGCATCCTCGCCTGAACCGGGGCAGCCGGGGAGAGGCCTGCGGTCCGGGGACGTCACCTCGAGCCCCGGGCGCCTGTAGCCGTCCGAGGCGGCCAGGCTCAGGCTGCTCCTGAGGTCCTTGTCCCTGTTGTTCCTGTTCATGGGCATGTGCAGCCGGGGGTTGGGGTTGGCGCTGTGGCGGTTGCGGCTCCGCAGGGAGCTGAACACCATGTTGCACCCCTCGATGGTGCACTTGTGCTTGATCTTCAGGTGCACGGCGTTGTAGTGGATCTTGAGGGTGCCTTTGTCGTAGAAGGTCTTCTCGCAGGCCGTGCAGAACACCCGGCCCTTCTTGGCGCCCAGGCCGTGCCGCTCTGGCTTCCCCCGGGCCTCGGGGGACAGCTGCGTCCCTTCCAGCTTCGTGACGAGGCTGTAGGTGCTGGAGTCGCTCACGTGGGCGGCGTCTTCCTGGTGAGGGGCGGCATCGGGGCAGCTCGGACACGGCTCCTTTTCCAGCTGAAACGGGGTGGAGCTGGAGGCCAGGAAGCTGCTGTCGTCGGGGAAGGGCCTGTGGAGATCCTGCCGGGGGTCCTGGCCCTGACCCGGGTCCGGACCCTGCTCCAGCGCGTACTGCTCGGGCAGTGGCCCCATCAGTGCGGGCGGCACGGGGTTGAAGAACTGGAAGGGCAACATGAAGGTCATGCTGTTGATGAGGTTCTCAAAGGGGTGCCCGCCGCCGGGGCTCCCCTTGTCCGCGGGCACCTGGAGGCTGGCGCCCCTGTGGCCGCAGCTCTCGATGAAAGCCCTGATGTCCACGTTGGCCGCTGAGGGCGGGGCGATGGCAGCCGGCTCGTCCTTCTCCTGCACAGCCATGAGCTCCACGATGGACTTGGTCTCCCCGAAACGCAGGAACTGCTGCAAGGTGGCCACCTCCTCCTCGCTGGTCATGATGCTCCAGTGGTCCAGCACCTTCCCCGACGCGTCCTACACCCCGACCGGAAACGAAAGAGGCGGTCAGTTTCCTCTAAGAAAGGAGCAGGGTGGTCAGTGGTCAGGGCCTCCTCTGGCACCCAGACCAGAGGGCCTCTGTGCACATTTGAAAATGACACCATCTCAGGGTGAGCCCGGGGCTGGTTCAGCCCCCACTCACGCCACTCTCCTAGGCCAGAAACTGTGCAGAAAATATACTGTAGCCCTAGCCGGTTTGGCTCAGTGGATAGAGTCTCAGCCTGCGGACCAAAGGGTCCCGGGTTCGATTCCGGTCAAGGGCACATGCCTGGGTTGCGGGCTCGATCCCCTGTAGAAAGGCGTGCAGGAAGCAGCCGATCAATGATTCTCTCTCATCATTGATTCTCTCTCTCCTTCTCTCTTCCTCTCTCAAATCAATAAAAATGTATTTTTTTTAAAAGAAAGAAAATATACTGGACAAATGTAAGTGGCATCCCAAAGAGACACAAAATAATTGTATTCAAGCCTCAGGGAAATTTGGTGATTAGTTTCCATCTTATTGGTCATCCTGCATTAGGCATAATAATCTTCACCACAAAAATTAAAATACATATATTTTGCCCTGCCCGGGTGGCTCAGGTGGCTGGAGGGTCGCTCTATACATCAAAGGTTGTGGGTTCCATCCCCAGTTGGGGTGTGTATAGAATGTTTCTCTCTCACATCCATGCTTCTCTTTCTCCCTCCCTCCCTCTCGCTTTAAAATCAATAAACATATCCTGACATGAGGATAAAAACCAACAATGTATCTTTTGAAGAATAGTAACTTCTTTTTGTTTGTTCTCACCAGAGGATATTTTTTTCCATTGATTTTAAGAGCGAGTGGAAGGGAAGGGAGTGGGAAGGGAGAGAGAGAAAGAGAGGAGGGAGATCAATGTGAGAGAGATACATCGATTGGTTGCCTCCCACACGTACCCCAACGGAGGCTGGGGATCAAACCTGCAACCCAAGTAGGTGCCCTTGACCGGGAATTGAACTGGCAACCCTCTGGTCTGGGGGCCAACGCTCTAACTCAGTGATGGCGAACCTTTTGAGCTCGGCGTGTCAGCATTTTGAAAAACCCTAACTTAACTCTGGAGCCGTGTCACATAGAGAAATTTTTTGAACTTTGCAACCACAGTAAAACAAAGACTTATATTTTTGATATTTATTTTATATATTTAAATGCCATTTAACAAAGAAAAATCAACCCCAAAAATGAGTTCGCGTGTCACCTCTGACACGCGTGTCATAGATTCGCCATCACTGCTCTAACTGCTAAGCCACACTGGCCAGGGCAACAATAGTAACTTCTTTATCTCAAGACTCTAGATGGAGCAACCAGACCTCCATATCGCTCGGGTATTTATTCACTGCATTTTAATAATCTGCCCAAGCAACTACCATCAGAAAACAAATGAACCCGTATTGATCTACGGCCCGTGTTCACAAAGCGCAGCTGTAATTACACCGGCGTGTTGGAGATCGTTCAAACTCTAGCAAGGCCTAACTTTTCCCAAACTGCAATAAATATTTTATCACAGAACATGTACTTGATGGCCTACTGAGATTTTTTCACAGTGCATGGGAGCGTTCCGAAGATGGCGAGGAATGTAACATCATACATTTTTCATGCACTAGAGGTTCAAGGTAATTGATTCCATATTTTTAATCCCAACACGAGGGAAAGCAAGATTATTAGGATCATTAAATATTGATCTCTGTCATAATGTAAGATGGTAATGCTACTCTGCATAAAAGGTGATTTCCGACCTGCGGGGGGGCGGGGGGGGCTGCTCTCGAGGTGAACACATGTGCTTCCAGAGGAAGATCATGGCCTTTAGACTCAGAAAAATGGGGGTTCGAATCCGGGGTCTGCTGCATAGGAGTTGAGTGACTCCCGCAAGATTTAGAAGCCACTCGGAGCCTCTGGTTTTTCGACGGAAAAAGGGGATATTCTACCTACTTCGTAAGATCCCTGGAAAAAGGTCTCGGTCAGTGATGGCGAACCTGTGACACGTGTGTCAGAGGTGACACGCGAACTCATTTTTTGGGTTGATTTTTCTTTGTTAAATGGCATTTAAATATATAAAATAAATATCAAAAATATAAGTCTTTGTTTTACTATGGTTGCAAATATCAAAAAATTTCTATATGTGACACGGCACCAGAGTTAAGTTAGGGTTTTTCAAAATGCTGACACGCCGAGCTCAAAAGGTTCGCCATCACTGGTCTAGGTGGTAAGATTACTGGGAGAGGGTCTAGGTCAGTGGTTCCCAACCTTTTTTGGCCACGCCCCACCTAAGCATCTCTAACATCCTGGTGCCCGCCCTAGCTGGTTTGGCTCAGTGGATAGAGCGTCGGCCTGTGGACGGAAGGGTCCCAGGTTCGATTCCGGTCAAGGGCACATGCCTGGGTTGCAGTCTCGATCCCTGGTAGGGGGCCTGCAGGAGGCAGCCGATGGATGATTCTCTCTCATCATTGATGTTTCTATCTCTCTCCCTCTACCTTTCTCTCTGAAATCAATAAAAATATATTAAAAAAATAAATAAAATCCTAATGCCCCCCCCCTTCCCGGGACATATCATTTTTATTATTCAAAAAGTGAGCTCCTTATTCACATGGAGGAAGCCTCAAAGGCCATGAACTTGGTCTAAACAAGCTTCCAAAGAACATGGCATCCATGAAAGAGAAAAATAAAAGAACGAAGGGACAGGGGAAGGACTGAGGAAGAAATCACTAGGAAATTGTTAAAAAGAATAGTAATAACATAAAATGATATGAAAAAATAGCAAGTACAGTTTCAAAACATAACAGAGAACTGAAATGCATAAACGTGTCACAATGTACATTTATAGACTGTCTATGAGGGCCCTAGGACCGTAAGAAATGCAAGAAGTTCACTGTTAAGAACTCATTCTCGAATCGCCTCCCTATGGGAACCACTGGTCTAGGTCAGTAACTGGTTATTAGTGTTCATTTTAGTGACACAGTTTTCTCGGAGTAAGACCAACATGGACGTGTGTCTTGGAAATAAATTCATACCTCCATTTCACTGAAATTTTTACCAAAGTTGGCTGATACTATTTCCCAGTATAGTGGCAAGAAAAAAAAAATTAGAAAGCTGCATCTATTTCATAAAAATGATCTCATTTATATCAGGAAATACATCCTTCGCCTCTAGATGTGAAACAGGAAACCTGCCCCCATAGCTTGTTATAGAAAGGGAGGTAGAACCACTTTGCGAAGCCCTGGCCGGGTGATTTGGTTGGTTGGAGCACCAGTCCACACACCAGAAGGTTGAAGGTTCAATTCCCGGTTCAGTTCCAGGTTGCGGGGTTTGATCCCGGGTGGGGGTGAGTACGGGAGGCAACCGATCAATGTTTCTCTCTCTCTCTCTCTCTCTCTCTCTCTCTCTCTCTCTCTCTCTCTCTCTCCCTCTCCTTTCCTCTCTCTCTGAAATTACATATCCTCAGGTGAGGATTAAAACAAACAAAAACTACTCTGCCACATAAAGAGAAGAGAGAAGGCATGAAAGGCACAGAGAAATAAGCCTTTCATTTCTCCTTCGTGGAGAGACAAAGACAAAATGTGAGGAGGCAGAAAGAGAATGGGGGGCAGGTGCAGAGAATAAAAACCAGCATGAACACAGAAACCTCACAAGATGACCCATTCTAGGAGGGAACATCAGCAGTGGGGTGCAGACGCTTTCGAGAACAGGGACCGGAATTGTTTGCTTGTGGTTCTGCAAGGCAAGTTCGCTTTCTCACCCCCAAAACCTCAGTAAAATCTCACACAGACAGCATCTATGTCAATAGGTAGTTTGCAGATAATAAAAGAAGTGGAGCCCCAGCCGGTTTGACTCAGTGGATAGAGCATCAGCCTGAGGACCAAAGGGTCCCGGGTTCAGTTCCGATCAAGGGCATGTACCTCGGTTGCAGGCTCCTCCCTGACCTGGGCTCTGGTCAGGGAACGTGCAGGAGGCAACCAATCGATGTGTTTCTCTCACATCGATGTTTCTCTCTGTCTTTCCCTCTCTCTTCCACTCTCTCTAAGCATCCTGGGAAAATATGGAAAAATATCCTTGGGTGAGGATTAAAAAAAAAAAAAAAGAAGTGTCCAAGGCGGGGCCAGTGGTTTACTGTGGAAGAGCTGTCCAGTGAAACACAAGTCAGAGGACCAGGTAACGCTCCCACATCTGAGTTTCACAGGTATCTTTTTTTTTTAATATATATTTTTATTGATTTCAGAGAGGAAGGGAAAGGGAGAGAGAGAATCATTGACCGGCTGCCTCCTGAACACCCCCTACTGGGGATCAAGCCCACAACCGAGGCATGTGCCCTTGACCGGAATCGAACCTGGGACCCTTCAGTCCCCAGGCCGAAGCTCTATCCACTGAGCCAAACCAGCCAGGGCTCACAAGTATCTTGAGGAAAGCCCTGGATTCCTCCCAGAAGGTGGGGTAGGGCATTCAGCCGCTAGAAAAAAGACAAAAGGGAAGGATGCCTGCAATGGCTGTAGCGCTCGTAGGCTACTGGGCTGCTTCAGGGAAGCGGAAGTGGATGGGAGAAGACCCTGGCGGAGGAGGGTGGCCGTGCTGGCCGCACCTGCAGCACGTATCCCCGGATGTAGTCCTGAAGGGTCCAGTCCAGGGCGTGCAGGATCCGCAGGACTTCGTCCTGCTTCAGCACACTGAAGAGCCGGTCCAGGAGGATTTTCAGGCGCACGGGGATGGCCTGGGTCCCGTAGAGCATGAGGCTGCTGATGTCAAACACCACGTTGGACTGGACGATCTCCACCTGGCTCGTGGGATACATGGGCGGGATCCTCAGCTTGCTGAGCGCTGGAAAACCAAAGGAAGAAACGATTTTTTAAAAATATATTTTTATCGATTTTAGAGAAGAAGGGAGAGGGAGAGAGAGAGAGAGAGAAACATCAGTGATGAGAGAGAATCATGGATCGGCTGCCTCCTGCACACCCCACACTGGGGATTGAGCCCGCCACCCGGGCATGTGCCCTTGACCGGACTCGAACCCGGGACCCTTCAGTCTGCAGGTCGCCGCTCTATCCCCTGAGCCAAACCAGCCAGGGCAGGAATGACGTTTTTAAGGATCCTACTCTCAAGAGAAACATTGCATAGGAAATAGGCTGGTGCCAACTCTCAGCGTTCTGTTCCAACAGTGAAAAAAAAAAGACTATACAAATAATTAATTATCTTAATAGCTTTCACAGGCACTTATAACGTGGACTGGCCCGAGTCCCTCCTTTTCTCCCTTTCCTGTGGCCTCCCTGAGGAGGAAAAGAGCCGCAAGTAGGGGGAGTGCAAAAAGAGGGGGTGGTGGTGGTAAAAACAAAGGCCCAGGTGCCTAACCCAGAGGATGGAAATCGGGAAGCACCAGGTGAGAACCTGGGTTTGGGAGTCCAGCAGACCCGGGCCTGACACCTCCTAGTTGACAGACTTGGCAAATAAAACCACCGAAACCCAGCTCTCACTGGTTGGGCTCAGTGGATAGAGCGTCGGCCTGCTGACTGAAGGATCCCGGGTTCGATTCCGGTCAAGGGCATGTACCTGGGTTGCAGCTCAATTCCCAGGAGGGGGCGTGCAGGAGGCAGCTGATCAATGATTCTCTCTCATCATTGATGTTTCTATCTCTCTCTTCCTCTCCCTTCTTCTCTGAAATCAATACAAATATATTTAAAAAAAGAATAATAAAAAAGAAACCACCGAAACCTATGTTGTCTTATGTGTTAGACATCAGCCCCATATGGCTACTTAAATTTAGATTTACATTCATTAACATTGCCCTAGCCGGTCTGGCTCAGTGGATAGAATGTCAACCCACAGACTGAAGGGTCCGAGGTTCGATTCCGGTCAAGGGCACATACGTTGGTTGCAGGCTTGACCCTGGCCCTGGCCAGGGCATGGGGAAGGCAACCGATCGATGTGTCTCTCTCACATCGATGTTTCTCTCTGTCTCTCCCGCCCCTTCCACTCTCTCTAAAAATCAATGGAAAAATATCCTCGGGGGAGGATGAACAAAAACAAAACAAAACAAAAAATAAATTCATTAACATTTAAGAAAACTGGAAATTCAATTCTGTAGTCACACTTGTCACGTTTCAAGAATTTGGTAGCCACCCATGGCTAGTGTAGGGTCAAGTTCAGCAAATATAAATACAGGATGCCCAGTTAAATCTGAATATAAACACAAAATGAGTGGATATGCCTAGACCAGGGGTTCTCAAACTACGGCCCACGGGCCACATGCAAATAAAAATATTGTATTTGTTCCCGTTTTGTTTTTTTACTTCAAAATAAGATATGTGCAGTGTGCATAGGAATTTGCTCATAGTTTTTTTTTAAACTATAGTCCGGCCCTCCAACGGTCTGAGGGACAGTGAACTGGCCCCCTGTTTAAAAAGTTTGAGGACCCCTGGCCTAGACTAAGAAAAATATTGATTGATTAACCTCAGAGAGGAAAGGAGAGGGAGAGATAGGAACATCAATGATGAGAATCATCGATCAGCTGCCTCCTGCACGCCCCCAACTGGGGATCGAGCCTGCAACCCAGGCATGTGCCCTGACTGGGAATCCAACCCTGACCTCCTGGTTTATGGGGTCGACGCACAACCACTCAATCACACCAGCCGGGCTAGGAAATTATTTTTTGTCTATCTGAAATTCAAATTTAAAGGAACAGTCTGTATTTTATCTGGGCTAGGGCCACTGCATTAGACGGCACAGACCAGTTCTATCATCTCAAAATGATGGCAGTGAGTGTGCCCGCCTTTAGAATGGAGCTAACAAAACACGCATCATGTGGAGTTGTTATCAAAGAGATGACACATCTAGAGCTCTTAGGCCAGGGGTTCTCAACCTGTGGGTCGCGACCCCTTTGGCGGTCGAACGACCCTTTCACAGGGGTTGCCTAAGACCATCCTGCATATCAGATATTTACATGACGATTCATCACAGCAGCAACATGACAGCTATGAAGTAGCCACGAAAGTAATTTTATGGTTGGGGGTCACCACAACATGAGGAACTGTATTTAAAGGGCCAGAAGGTCGAGAACCACTGTGACTTAGGCGGCTGCCCGGCACACAGCAGTAACTTACGCGTGCTCGCTGCCGCTCTGTTCTTAAGATATTCCATCCATTCCTGAAAAACTCTAAGAGTTATTTAGAGGGAAATAAAGTTACCGTGGGCCACCCATCCGTGTCGGCACTGCTCACACTGCCGGTGGTTGATTTTGCCTGGTTTGAAACTTTGGCAACTGCAGTTCAGAGTACAGCCAATAGCCTGCAAAAGAGAACACAGGTGCGCTTAGCACGTTCGGGGGGTGTGGGACACACACGACATGTACAGAGCAAAACCTCCATCCGGCGGCATTCCTTGAGCACTGCGTGCGCACGCCGTGCCAGGCCCAGGCGTGTATACTGGACCCTGGAAAGAGGACCTGGAGACAGCATACACCTCACGCAGACATTCTGGAGAGAATAGGCCACAGACATCGGGACTTGTTATAGGCCAGGGATGGAGAACCTTTTGAGCTCGCGTGTCAGCATTTTGAAAAACCCTAACTTAACTCTGGTGCCGTGTCACATATAGTAATTTTTTGATATTTGCAACCATTGTAAAACAAAGACTTATATTTTTGATATTTATTTTATATATTTAAATGCCATTTAACAAAGAAAAATCAACCAAAAAAATGAGTTCACGTGTCACCTCTGACACATGTGTCATAGGTTCGCCATCACTGGTATAAGATGAGGGGTTGGAAGGAAACATCTGGGTTGTTATTATGAAGGACATGGAAAGGGCGAAGAGTCACATTTTAAAAAAAAATATGTTTTTTTTATTGATTTCAGAGAGGAAGGGATTGGGAGGGAGACATAGAAACATCAGTGATGCCCTAGCCAGTTTGGCTCAGTGGCTAGAGCTTTGGCCTGTGGACTGAAGGGTCCCAGGTTCAATTCTGGTCAAGGGCACATACCCGGGTTGTGGGCTCAATGCCCAGTCGGGGGCGTGCAGGAGGCAGCCGATCAATGATTCTCTTATCACTGATGTTTCTATCTCTCTCCCTCTCCCCTCCTCTCTGAAATCAATAAATATATATATATATATATATTTTAAAAAGAAACATCAGTGATTGATGAGAGAGAATCATCACTTGGCTGCCTCCTGCACGCCTCCTACTGGGGATCGAGCCCACAACCTGGGCATGTGCCCTTGACTGGAATCAAAGCTGGGACCCTTCCGTTCGCAGCATGACCCTCTAGCCACTGAAACAGACAAACTAGGGCTCATTTTTTTCCCCTTCTTAATCCTCACCTGAAGCCATTGATTTTTATAGGGAGCAGAGAGGTTAGGCAGAGAGTTATAACAATGTGAGCGAAACACATCGATTAGTTCCTGCTGCATGTGCACGACCAGGGGCCCGGGCCGGGGGAGGAGCCTTCCACCGAGGAAACGGCCCCCTTGAGTGGAAATGGAACCCCGGGACACTTCAGTCCGCAGGCCGATGCTCTATCCTCTGAGCTAATTCGGCTAGTTCTATAGAGCATCATTATCACTGAATCTCTAATGTGATGGGAGCAATCATGCTGAAAAGATTACGGGGGCTGCCTTGGTACAAGTAAAAGGAATTGATTGGAGTGGCGAGATTGCCACTTGTGGAATTTGTTCCCCATCAACATGTGGCAGAGGATGAATACCAGGCTAGATAAGAGGACATGTACCGGCTGGATGGCTTCCCAGCCCCATCCCTGGTGAGTGTGCCTGCCAGAGACAGACACGGGCTGTACAAGGCCTGCTCGTCCCCTGCAGGCTGCTTGTTAGAAGTGCCGTGTGTGGTGGGTGGGTGCGGAGTGTGCAATCACATGGCTGACATAAAAAATAGAGACGTACGTGCCAACAGAGTCTGGTGTTAGCAACAGAGCTTCCCATACATTTTTTAAGATGAATTCCTCAAAAGGGGGGTGGAGGCCTACAGAACGTAATCTATTATTAAAGAGAAAACGCTCTCACAGGGGCTCTGACAGCTAGGTTCCTGGGAAGAGCTGCTGGGTGGAATCCATATGATGTAAGAGAGCCTTGAACCTGGGGAGTGTGTGCGTGTTTGGGAGGCCCCGGGGTGTGTGTGTGTGTGTGTGTGTGTGTGTGAAAGCCCCACATCTGCCCTGGCCTGTTTGGCTCAGTGGACAGAGTGTCAGCCTGTGGACTGAAGGGTCCCAGGTTCGATTCTGGTCAAGGGCACATGCCCGGGTTGCAGGCTCGGTCCCCAGTAAGGGGTGTGCAGGAGGCAGCCGATCAATGATTCTTTCTCATCACCGATGTTTCTATCTCCCGCTCCCTCTCCCTTCCTCTCTGAAATCAATAAAAATATTTTTGAAAAATCCAGTTGCTAGAGGGCTGGTAAATGGTGCAGGCAACTTGGAAAACAGTCTGGCAGAGTTTCACAAACACAGAGTTACCACAGGATCCAGCAACTTCACTCCTGGGTATGCGCCCAAGACAACTGAAAACCCCTCTCCACACAAACGCTTGCTCCCCAAAGTGGAAATAGCCCCCCCCCCCACTGTGTCCTTCAGTTGATAAATGGATAAACAAAGTGTGGACATCCATACCATGGATACCATTTATATATATAAAAGCCTCAGTGACCGAATGACCGAACCACCATTTGACTGGTCACTATGATGTGCACTGACCACCAGGGGGCAGACGCTCAACGCAGGAGCTGCCTCCTGGTGGTCAGTGCGCTCCCACAGCGGGAATGCCGCTCAGCTGATTGATGAGCTCCAGAGGCCTGGCTCACGGCTGGCGAGCGCAGCTATGATGGTCTGAGCCTCTCCCGCCTCCATGGCAGTGTGCTACCGAGCGAGCAGCAGTGGCGGCAGGCGCAGCGGGGCCAGAAGCGGAGCGGTGTCTGGCCTGGGCTTGGGCTCCTTCCTGGCTGCCTGCGGCTTTGTGAACTACTACATCCCTTGGGCAGTCCGACATCCTCCAAGGGGTCCCAGATTATGAGAAGGCACAGGCCAGGACGAGGGGCCCCACTGGTGCACGAAATCCATGCACTGGGCCTCTAGTCTATATATATATGAAAGCCTAAGAGACTGAGCGACCGAACGACTGAGTGACCGGTCGCTATGATGTGCACTGATCACCAGGAAGCAGATGCTTAATGCAAGAACTGCCCCCTGGTGGTCAGTGCGCCCCCACAGCCAACCTCCTGCGGCCCCAATTGGCCCCTAGCACCGGCCAGGCCAAGGGACCCCCCACCTGTGCACAAACTTGTGCACCGGGCCTCTAGTTAGGCAATAAGGAAGAATGAAGTACTGAGATATGCTACCACATGGATGGATCTTGGAAACATTAAGCTAAAGAAAGAAGTACACAAAAAATGAAGTATAAAAAGTTGGAGGCTGTACGATTCCATTTACAAGAAATGTCAAGACTAGGACAATCCAGCCCTAACTGGTTTGGCTCAGTAGATAGGGCATCAGCCTGCAGACTGAAGGGTCCCGGGTTCTATTCTGATCAAGGGCACATGCCAGGGTTGCAGGTTCGATCCCCGTAGGGGGCATGCAGGAGGCAGCTGATCAATGATTCTCTCTCATCATTGATGTTTCTCTCTCCCTCTCCCTCTCCCTTCCTTTCTGAAATCAATAAAGAAATATTAAAAAAGGGAGGGGCAATCCATAGAGGCAGAAAGCAGACGAGTGTCTGCCAGGGATTGTGGGGAGTAGGCGGGATGATGAGTGGGTAGGGAATGCTAATGGGTGGTAGAGAAGGGAGAGTGGTATTCTTTTTGGTTTGTTTTCATCTTTTTTTAAAACCAGCTTTAAATTGAGATGTAATTCACATATACAACTCACCCATTTAAAAGTACACATGCCACTGATTTTTAGTACATTCACAGGGTAGTGCAACCTTCATCACAATCTGATTTTCATCCTTCCCCGAAGAAACCCTGGTACAAGTTTATGGTGGACACGTGACTCCATTTCTTTTGGGCATGTTCTTAGGAGTGGAATTGCTGGAACACCTAGTCACTCTCAGTGTAACTGTTTGAGAAACGGTCCAATTGTTGTCCAAAGGGGTGGAACCATTTTACATTCCCATCAGCAATGCATGAGGGTTCCAGTTTCCACCCTCCTCGCCAACACGCCATGAAAAGGTGGACCGAATGACTTTAATGTCAGTGAAAATACTCCCAAGTATACTACAATGATGGATACACAGCATCCTACAGTTCTCCAAACCTTCAGGACGGGCACCACCAAGAGCGAGCTCTAAGGTCAACTATAGATGCTGGGTGATTTTGAAGAGTCCATTGGAGGTTCATCGTTGTAACAAATGTGCCCCAGGGTGAGGGGTGTTAATCATGGGGGAGGTGCCTGGCTGGTGTGGCTCAGTGTTTGAGCGGTGGCCTATGAACCAGGAGGTCACCGATCAATTCCCGGTCCGGGCACATGCTCAGGTTGACGGTTCCATCCCCAATAGGGGGTGTGCAGGAGGCAGCCCATCAATGATTCTCTCTCATCATTGATGTTTCTCTCTCTCTCTCCCTTCCTCTCTGAAATCAATAAAAATATTTAAAATAATAATAACAATGGAGGAGGCTGTGCATAGTGTGGCTTAGTTGGTTGAGTGTTGTCTCAACCATTACATGAAGTCTAGTAGCCTCCCAGCTACTACCCACCAGGTACCCCAGTAACACCTCCCTCCCCCAGTTGGGGAAACCAAATATGTCTCCAGACATTTCCAGATGCTCCTGGGGGCGAAACTGCCCCCAGACGAGACCCACTGACCTAACCTGACTATTCAGTTTTAGCAGTTTCTACTGTGGGGACAGAATTTTTTAAGCAGTTTTACCCACAATTCCGACGTATGGATGCTGCTTCATAAGAAACATTCATGTGGTTTTATATGAACCTATTTGAATGAGGCTTAATAAAGCTCATTAGACACCTATGGAAATCAATCTCAGAGGAATTATTTGTGGACTAAAAAGGCGAATGATGGTGTCTTAGAAAACTTCTAACGTAAGGCCCTGGAGTTTTTCCACCCAGCTCAGAATCCCACAATGTAGTAAAATTGTAGCATTGTTCCCAAAGACACATGAAAACTTCTACAATGCGATCAGACCACACACACACACACACACACACACACACACACACACAATTGTAATTACAGGACGAAAAGTACTCATGTAAATCAAAATGGAAAACTCTTAAAACTCACATCCTTTCCTTTGGACTCCGGATAGAAGTACCTTTTTTTCGGAAACATACAGCAGATGTTTACAACATTC